TGTCCCCTCCTGTAGCTCTCCACCACCTGTTTGTAGCTCGCTGCCCCACCCTCCTGCTGACCCGTGATCCGGTTGTTATGCAGTTGGTCATTACACTTCACGGCGTAACGACCATTTGCATATTATATCTTTATTATATAGGATATTCCTAGACCTTAAAATAATGTTGTACACAGTAGGTGCTCAACAATTTGTTGAATCAACAAAACACTAATGAGTATCCTAAATGCCCATAAAAATGCTTCTTTGAGCTTATTATGAGAAAGAGAATTATGGGGGATCCAGAAGTGAATCCTCTACCCTTCCAGGTGCTCATCTGAGAACTGTGTGCATTTGTCTGTGCCTGTGGAACTCTCACTTGTGTAGATGGACCACTTGGGAATAGCTGTGCTCTTTCAGAAACACCAAAAATTCATAGTGGACTAGAAATAAAATGACAAAATATACACTGTGGGCTAAAATCAACAGCATCTCATATCAGACTCTAGCATAGACAAGTAATAAAAGTAGAACAGATGATTCAGATATAAACCTTCCTGCCCCCAAGGAGCGCACAGTCTGGTAGCCATGGTAACAGACAACTACACTCATATTATTATCACCTCACTAACAGGAAAATGTACTAGGTACAAAGGCAACAGAGAGGAGGGAGTGATTAAGTGTAGTAGCAGAGGGGGATGATATCTGAGCTGAGTTCTGAAGCATGAATAAGGGAAGGAGAGAAGGGCCCAGAAGAAAGATTTACAAGTGAGAAATATTTCACTATTTTTTCCTGCTTAGTAGAAATGCCTACCTATCTGGATTTTAACAGGAAATAGCTCAGCCAAGCTTGCAAAATGCCAAGTTGTGTAGCGCAGAATTTAAGAAGCCCTGGTTATTGGGACATGTAGGGAAAGGCTGAGTGAAAGGGACAGAGCAGGAAGGGAGACCAATAGCTTCACAAGGCAAAGTAGAGAAGACGGGACCATTTAATACCATAGGACCCATCAAAGGCTCAAGGCTCCAACAGAGAAGGGAGGAGAAGGGGTAGAAAGGGCAGGAACACTTTACTTCTGCCTTGGCCATTGTCTGAAGCAGGCTTTTTCCTGTTTTCCATCTCTCCTGATAATGTTGTATGCTCCTGAGGAGAGAGGCCTCCTTGATAGTACAGAAAGTTCCCATGTTCTGACTCGAATGGCCTGGGTTTGAGTCTTATTAACTGTATGGAACTTTTGCTCAGTTTTCAAAAACATGGGT